AAAAAAAAAAAAAAAAACATTATATTACATTACAGCAAGGTACCACTTATCTCCAAATAATCTCCAAATAGCAGTACAACGTTCATGTAAATTTTTATAATAGAAGTTTTATTCAACCACATAACATTACACTATGGATGTAGAATACTAGAGGTGTGGCAAATTTGATCGATTCTGGTCACAGCTCGTAAACTGTAAAGTAACTCAGCCACGTTTGTTAGAAAGTATCATCATCAAACCACAAAAAAGGCATGAGTTCCAAGAAAATAGGCGAAGGATAATAGTACCCTGTACAACAGAAACTAGCTCCACAAGATTTTCTTTCTTGTGCCAGAAAATTACAGCCTTCACAACTAAGCTCACAGTAGCCCATACAGATCCAGACTGCTGATCTCCACGAAACGTCAACAAAACTCAAACACCAGACTTGCAACTTAGCTCAATGAAACAATCAAATAAATAAACGCACAAACAATCAGATCAGGGACCAAAACCCTTTGCCCAAATTTCAGATTTCACCCACGACAAAAAAACTGAAAACCCCAGAAAACCACCACTCATCTACAATAGAAAAAAGAAAAAAGGGATTCGAATTCACCGATCCAGGTCACAAACAAACCGATCAAGAATCCAGAAGATTTCAAATTTTCAACTAATTCCATAAACTAATACAACGAAGAAAAAATCCATACATGGAAGAAGGAAAAATCAAATTCATACAAAGCGTACCATGATGGCATATAATGTTGAACAAGCCAAGGTGCTGTGATTAGCCGGCGACGCAGCTGGTAACTATCGAGAACCAGAAATGAGAGAGATTGGAAAGTGTAGACTACAAACGGAGGAGAAAGTAGAAAGCGAGCTGATTTATTGCTTCATACGGGCGAGCACACGGTAAATGAATGTGATCTGGAAAATTGAACGGTCACGATCCGGTCCCTTTTTATATGTTTTGACTGTTGTATAGATCGCACGGCGAATAATACAATTATACAAGGGCATAAATTGTGATGATCAAAGTGGTCGCGTGGAGATATTGTGGAACATACATCAAGATTTTCAGAGGGCTGGCCCAGTCATAACTATTGGGCTGAACGCTGGTTTCTTCTGGATATGGGCTGTGTAAAATAAATTTGGTGGGTTGTATTTCCTTATATTGATCCTTAAATACTTTACAATAATTGACACCCCTTATCCAGTATTAAAAACTGTTTACATTAATCTAACTGTTTACTTTAAGATGAGCCCAATATGATTTTAGTAGTTTATGTGATTTTAAGAGTGCAAAAAAATATATTGGTATTTAAACAAGTATGAGTGCTCGCGAACAAACTTCTATTGGTAGGCTCGTGGATGGCATTGGTGAATAGAGTTTTTTGTGTATTTTTTTTTTTATTAACTTCTCATAGGTTGATTAATTATTGATTCAAGCAAAAATAGAATTGTGTACTACATTACATTAGATGATCTCAAACTACTAGTAGTCTTGTTATCTCAACAAGCTCTTGTCTGACCTCACCAAAGTTTGTCAAGTTCAAGTGTTTGACCGTACATACAAGATGAATCAAAGCTTGTTAAATTCCATACTTTTAAAACTTTGCGGTCAACTCAAGCTCGTTAATTATTCAATTGAGTTGGGTTTCACCACCTCAACTTACTTAGGTATACATAAAATTGTTGTTGGTTTAGGTAACTGGCATGAAGTCCTTTCATATATTAGAAACGAACAAATGTTAGGTACTTTCGTGTATTAAGACTTGCCATCAACCCACAAATTTTCCAAATTTATTTATCGTCCAAGGTTCATCTTGAATACTATAAGTATATATTTTATAAATTCCTAGTCAACGCACGCTTTCAAATTTTTAAACACACCAAGAAAGGAAAAAAAAAATAAAAACATTATATTACATTACAGCAAGGTACCACTTATCTCCAAATAATCTCCAAATAGCAGTACAACGTTCATGTAAATTTTAATAATAGAAGTTTTATTCAACCACATAACATTACACTATGGATGTAGAATACTAGAGGTGTGGCAAATTTGATCGATTCTGGTCACAGCTCGTAAACTGTAAAGTAACTCAGCCACGTTTGTTAGAAAGTATCATCATCAAACCACAAAAAAGGCATGAGTTCCAAGAAAATAGGCGAAGGATAATAGTACCCACACTTACCAAATGACTGGCTATCTTTTGTATCCTTTACACTCCAATTCGTCCGAGACAATTCATCAATTTTGAACCGAATTCCACCACAGGCTAATGACCTGACACTTCCAAACAATCATTGGCCACTCGGGCAACAATTATTTGTGTTGGATAAGAAAGAGCCAGAATAATCAGCACGGAAAAAACTTTGATCATGAAGGTGAATGCTTGTAAGAGAGCAAAGGCACAACATATTCATCTCCAGAACAGTTGGGAAAGTTTCCAGGAATAGTTTTCATATGCCGAGTTAAATTTTCACTTACGAAAAAAAAAGAAGAAAAAACATATTAACTAATTGGGAAGTTGTGAAAAACATAATATATGCATTTCCATTGATATGCTACACTGCAAGCCTTGGACAGGAAAAAAAATAAAATAAAAAGACAACCAAAAATTAAACAGAGACCATAAGAAGTACAGAAAGAAGAATTTAGAATGAACAAGTTCAGGAGACAAATAATAAGGCATGCTATGTACCTTTCTTGAACTTCAGAGCACAAATATGAAAATTTGTCAATGGAAAAGTGATTTTGAGTTTCTAACATTGCCAGGTCATAGCCCTCAACCTGCTTGCTTGAATACTGCAGTGACATTTCAGATGAATGTCATGAAGCTTCAAACCCAGAAAACGTATTGAAATGATAAGAAACAACAAGATTCTGCACTCTAAGCTGGGGGCACATGTATAGGTAAAGCAAGGTACTGGTTTATCACAAAGAGAAATGCGTAAGAAGCAAAAGTAAGTTGGCATGTGAGCTACAGGAAAAGAAGTCGTCAGGTGATTGGTCAATGATAAGCAAATGTAACACGAGAAAATAAACCAAACTATGTTATTCTTCATTCCGACAGAAATTGGATAATGGAATCTTTGTAACACAGGACAGAATTCCTATAGCATGTCGGTCATCATATTAAGTAGCAACAAATCAAAACAGAACGCCTAAAAGAGAAAAGAAGAAGAAGAAAAAGAAAAAGTACAACTGCTATATATTTGTAATGCGGCAGGTTGCTACGGTTCGCTTAAAATATAAATTAGCATTCGTACTTATGAATCAGTTCAATTACCAAAATGATTAATATGCCATTCTATGCATGATTACTAAAGAAAAATAGAGGGAATTGCAGAAGGAAACCTTTCCTTGTAAACAATGACATTGATATCTGTTAAAGAACACCCATGTTGCATATGGAACTCAGAGAATCATTTTACAGGGATCTGAAAGCTAATGTTATATGACCCACGGTATATACCAAATTAGTACTCATTCCACATTTAGCAGAAAACGGCAAGTCATTAATCCTTGGTTTACACACCTGGAATTCATTTTACAAGGAAAAATCAAATTCAAACAAAGCATACCATGATGGCATATAATGTTGAACAAGCCAAGGTGCTGTGATTAGCCGGCGACGCAGCTGGTAATTATCGAGAACCAGAAATGAGAGAGATTGGAAAGTGCAGACTACAAACGGAGGACAAAGTAGAAAGCGAGCTGATTTATTGCTTGATACGGGCGAGCACACGGTAAACGAATGTGATTTGGAAAATTGAACGGCCACGATCCGGTCCCTTTTTATATGTTTTGACTGTTGTATAGATCGCACGGCGAATAATACAATTATACAAGGGCATAAATTGTGATGATCAAAGTGGTCGCGTGGAGATATTGTGCAACATACATCAAGATTTTCAGAGGGCTGGCCCAGTCATAACTATTGGGCTGAACGCTGGTTTCTTCTGGATATGGGCTGTGTAAAATAAATTTGGTGGGTTGTATTTCCTTATATTGATCCTTAAATACTTTAGAATAATTGACACCCCTTATCCATTATTAAAAACTGTTTACATTAATCTAACTGTTTACTTTAAGATGAGCCCAATATGATTTTAGTAGTTTATGTGATTTTAAGAGTGCAAAAAAATATATCGGTATTTAAACAAGTATGAGTGCTCGCGAACAAACTTCTTTTGGTAGGCTCGTGGATGGGATTGGTGAATAGAGTTTTTTGTGTATTTTTTTTTTATATTAACTTCTCATAGGTTGATTAATTATTGATTCAAGCAAAAATAGAATTGTGTACTACATTACATTAGATGATCTCAAACTACTAGTAGTCTTGTTATCTCAACAAGCTCTTGTCTGACCTCACCAAAGTTTGTCAAGTTCAAGTGTTTGACCGTACATACAAGATGAATCAAAGCTTGTTAAATTCCATACTTTTAAAACTTTGCGGTCAACTCAAGCTCGTTAATTATTCAATTGAGTTGGGTTTCACCACCTCAACTTACTTAGGTATACATAAAATTGTTGTTGGTTTAGGTAACTGGCATGAAGTCCTTTCATATATTAGAAACGAACAAATGTTAGGTACTTTCGTGTATTAAGACTTGCCATCAACCCACAAATTTTCCAAATTTATTTATCGTCCAAGGTTCATCTTGAATACTATAAGTATATATTTTATAAATTCCTAGTCAACGCACGCTTTCAAATTTTTAAACACACCAAGAAGGGGGAAAAAAAAAAAAAACGGAAAAAAAAAAAAAAAAAAAAAAACCTTATGATCATCTTGTGACGAGTGGGGTCCACAGCCGACATGATTGCATATAATGCTCGAAAGTTTGCTTCTTCAGCTTGCCTTTCATCATCAGTCCAAATGCTTCTAGGTTTTTCGACTAGAACACGGGTAGCCGAGGTTGAAGATTTTGCATCCGAGGATTCGCCTTCCTTACACTCAGATGGAACTTTCGGCATAACTGGTAATGACCATCCCGATTCCACCACTTGCCAGGTCCCTTTCCCCAGAGAACGCAGAAAGATAACCATCATGGATTCCCAGTATCCATAGTTCGAACCATCAAGAAACGGAGGGCGCGAAACAGACAGTCCATCATGACTCATGGTGACCTATCCCAGTCCCAAAGATCTTTATCCCGTATGTAGAACAGGAACACTGCTCTGGTGCCAAATGAAACGTATAGAATAATCCCGAGTGCGCTCAACGTTGTACGAACAATTATAAAAACTACAATTTGCGGAAGCAATAACCAAAGATTTAAAAAACTCTTCAGGGAAGCATCCCACTTCCCTTCAGAGCTCTTTCATTGACAACTATTGAATACATAGTTTGGATTTACAAAATAGAACTCCCTTCTATTCTACCACAACTATGATCTAGCCTATCAATTACTTCTCCGGCCACGTCCCGTGGACTTACTTTTCACACTTACTCCCTAAGTGTAAATGATTAAAATGTTCAAATCAGAATAAAAGAAAACAATACAACTGAAATGGTCTCAGTTCCTCGTCGATCAAATCAATCGAGAACTGAGCCGAAGTGAAAATGAAAATGTAAGCAAGAAACTTGAAGCTTGAAGGTGATGAACAATTGCCCTAGTTTCAGCAGCCTCCTTCAATCTTCAAGATCGGTTTTTATATGATTCCCCTAGACTCTCACGATCCTTGGTCTCTCTTTGGTATATCCAAGAAGTCCTACCATGTAAAGGACTCTTCTTCTCTCTCCAAATATTCACTTGTCTTACTTATCCAAACTCTTCCTTATCTTTCGTGATGTCCCGCTTGCGTGAAGTTCTCTTCTCATATCAACTGATATCCTATAACACGTAAATACATAATAAGATCAAAAATAATATAAACTAATTTAGGAAACAAGAACTTCCCTTATTTATGCATGTAGGAACTTCCTTAATTTTTGAACTCATGCCAAAATATATCTTTCAGGTTTAAAGATGCGATTTTTATTACGGGCAGGCAGAAAAAAATCAGCAAATGAATTGCGGATAGGTTTTCGGAAAGCATTTTCTTTTTGTCGTCGATTAAAGTTAAACAAAGGGAGGCTGTTTTACAAGAATTCAAAAATGGAAAACAAAAGCAGGCATTGTAAATTTGTGTAACAGCATTAGACGAAAGAGAAACAGAGTTCAAGAAAGCTCCTTTCTAATTCTTCATCATATTTGAGAATGTGGAGCTCTCTCTAAAGCCTAAACAAAAGCAAAAATAACATTATGAACCATTGGGGACCAAAAATCAGAAGAATGCTTTGTTTTTTTTTTTTTTT